TGGCGGCCTCAAAGGGCTGTGCGTGTCTTGCAGCGCCCTGCCTATAGAAGCCGTGCGCGGGAGCCGTGCGTGGCATGCGATGGTTATATCGTTTGACTTGTGAAAATTTAATAGCACGTGTCCAAAAAACCCACTTTGGTGCATGTGGATCAGTAATGGCACGTTTTCATTACATAATATTCAAAAGGACCAATCCACTTACGAGCTTGTTTTTTTTTTCTCCTTTCTTTTGTGAGGTCATAACCCTTGTCAGGTGACGTGTGGGCGGGCAAGCGCAGCGGCTCGAGACGCGCTGACGCACGGGCCATGTTTTCTGGAAGAAGCAAGATGAAATCATAGCGCCAACTGTCTACAATGACATGGTGCTTCTTAATTTCTGCGTGAGGAGAGAATAAAGCAAAGTTGCGCACCATGCCCTGCCTGCTTAGAAGCAAAGAAAAGCACGAACTATAAAAATGGGGAGCTGGTGGAGGGACGCTGACTGAGAGAAATTTTCTTGGAAAAACAATAATAACGTGATTAAATGAAAACGTGACGAGGGAGGCCGGTCCAGTAGAACAGACAAGCACACGGCTTGGAGCACAGCGTGAGCTGTTGTTCGAGACGGGGCTCATGGTCTCCGACTCGACGGTGGCTGAGAGAATATCATTTCGCGGGCACACAAGACAAACATCGCGCAGCGGCTGGGCTGGCCCGGGGCGCCGCGCAGCCAGACGTGGCGCGTAGGGGGTCGCTGCCCCCCGCGGGGCTCGGCGCTGCCCCCCACAGGAGGGGAACCGAGCAGCTGCCGCAAAGAGGGGGAGTGGAGCGAGAGAGATTTGCGATTTTTCGACTCAGTGTTTACGTTTCACAAAATTAATGCGAGACGCGGCATCGGGAAAGCTTGCCATGCATTTTTAGGCGCGCGCGTTCGTGTGTGTTGAGGGGTGAGAACGCGGAACGGGAGGGGGGGGCGGCTTTTATTTTCCTTGTTATTTGTGCGGTGCTGATGTCGAGCGATGACCTCGCAGTGAAAGTGGGCGGGATTGGGGTGGGTGTGGTAAGTTCGGCAGGGGAGAGAGGCTGGTTGTTGTAGGGCAGGGTGATGCTGGCCGCCGGGGGCATGCGGAGTGATCTACCCAATCTGATAAATAGTTCGCCTTGGGTCTGTTTGCCAGGAGGAAGGGGTCGGCAGGCAGCCTGTGTTCGGTCAACTTCAGCCATATAACGCAGGGCGTGTCTGTCTGCAGGTGCTGCTGGTGGCGGCGGCGGTGGCGGCGGAGCAGGCGGCGCCGGCGGAGCAGCAGGCCGAGGAGACTACGCTGGACAAAGCGACCCGCGCCAAGAAGGACGCCGGTAAGTCACCATCCAGCAACAGCCAGAGGCTTGTCTCCTCTGCTCTCGCAACATTCTATCCTCTGTCGTCGGCCTCTTCTTTTTCGCCATGGAAATTCTTTTCTTCGCTCGTCGCCTCCCTCTCTCTCCCTGCCAAATTTCCGCCGCGCGGGCCTTATATTCTCGCGCAGCCCCGGGCGGGGACGAGGGACGCTCTCCGGCCGCGTCTGGGGCGGTGCGGGTCGCTGGCCCCGGCGCGACCTCTGCGATGTCATAATCACGGGGCTGTCACCAGGCGCGCGCGGCGGGCTCGGCCGTCACCGGCCACGGATTGGCGTGACCGGATCCGTATTATTTATACCCCACGGGACAGAGATAGGATGGGCCTACCATGGATTTGTAAAAGCCGTCGCGTGACGGTCCCGTTATGGGCTCCGCGGCCACCTGTGCGCTGCTGGGCCGCATAGGGCGCGCAGGGTCGCCGGGTCGCCCCGACCGCCAGGCGCTCGTCGCGGTGCCGCACCTCGTCACCGTGACATGACCCCACCCCTGGCACCGACCGAAACATATGTAAAGCGAACGCATGGCACCGAAGGGTTCTGTGACCGCGAATGGGATGTTTTCGTAAATATTTTCGAGGTAGCGATGTTTGTCCGCCCATATCCGATCCGCCCCTCAAAGGGTGCCGTCCGGCCCTTTCGAGACTGGATTGGGCCTGCGGGGAGCAGCAAACACATTCCACGTCATGGGTGAACCAATACAGGGATTCACGGATAACGCCTGCCTTACGAGTTTGCATATCACAGTGCCGGCTGCCGACTGAAACCAAAAATGAATTACGATTCAAACCGTGAATCTTTTACGTATTGCGCTCTCCTTTTCCTCCCTTCAAGATTGGCCGTTTAAAAATTAAAACAGATGGTCCGTATTCCCTGGATAAACTCTTTAAAAATAAAATCCGATCGCGTTCCCCGCCCTTAATCGCCTTTTGACGAGTATGAGAGGGACAGGAAATCGCCGGCAGCAGTCCTTTATGCGGTTTCCCTGCCGCTATCTGCGCGTCAACATCCCATTGACCGAGTTTTGCCGTCCACCCGCATACCGCACTCATGGCTTTTTTCTTTTTCGCACTCTACTGCTATTGCTGAAATTCTATTTGGTTACGCAGCCTTCTCTATCCTCTGCCTCTGCCTCTGCCTCCGCTAATTCTGAATTCATTTACCTTAATTTACTAGTTCGATGGTTTAAATATATTTTGTGAACTCAATGAACTCGTCCTGAAGTAATCCGACAGTGCCCTGTGGTGTTGCAGGGTACCCGTACGGCGGCTACAACTCGTACAACACGGCGTACAACTACAACAACCGCTGGGGCGTGCCGACGGCGCCGGCGTACAACAGCGCGGGCTTCTACAACTCGGACATCTCGCGCTCTTACCCGGGCGCATACGACCGCTACGACCCACGCTACAGCCAGTACAACCAGTACAACCAGTACGGAGCCTACAACCGGGGATACAACGCGGCGTACCCCACAGCCGCGGGAGCCTACGCTGGCTATCCTGGCTACCCAGGCTACACCGGCTACGATGCGAAGACGGTCGGCTACACCGGCTACAACACCGGCTACAACACCGGCTACGGTGCTAACCGATACCCGTACGAGGACCGCTTTTACAGCAACTACCCGTATAACAACTACAACAACCGGTATCCGTACGACTACAACAGGCGGGCGGGGTACGACAACCGATACGACTACCGGGCCCCTGTTACGGGGTACGGAGGGTACAATACGGGATATAACACAGGATACAACACCGGATACAACAACGGCGGGTACAACACCGGCTACAACAACGGCGCCTACCCCGCGTACCCCGTTACGCAAGAATACTACTACAACACCCCGGCGGCCAGTAACAACGTGTACAACACGGGGTACAGCGGCCGCTACCTCAAGAAGCGCGACGGCAAGGAGCCCGGGCCGCCTGGACCCTCCCCCTCGGCGGCGGGCGCAGGACCCACCCCCGCCACCCCCGTGGCTTAGACATACACCACCGACACCAAACCCAAACTTGTGCAGACTTTTCTACTTTTGTATGTTCTCTCTCGGACAGCATTAAAAATTTACTACTAACACCAAATGTGCCGATTGTGAGTTGTTGTTTTCTTTTCCGGTGCCCTCTCCTTCTTACTTTTACACCATTTTGAGAAAATTTAATTTATTTCACACATAATTACTATAATTAAAAAAAAGAAGACTTAACGACATAATAACTTACATATCAAAACAAAAAAAACTGGTTCTCGGTTGGTTGAAGCCATGCAGCACTGGAAATCGGAAATAACCAAATCGCTACCCTACACGTCATTGGGGCCAGATCAGTCTTTTGGAGGGACATAGTTTTTAAGTATCACAATCACAATAATAGAAACTATCCTATAGTGTTCTTGAGCGCTACTTTCTTATCACAATTAAACGCATTCGTAATCAACGACCGCAAGAGTGGGTTCATTGTCCTTTAACCCTTTAATATACACCCACTCGAAATTTGCTTGCGAAGTAGAAGGGGGCGAGAGCGATCCGTGTCCTGAAGCAGGTCTCGCGGCAGAGATCTGTCTGGCCTTGGCCGGCTAGAAGCAGAGCGCGTTGCAGCACTCGTTGAGGACCTCTCCCAGGCTGCAGGAGTCGCTCCCGCCACGGCGTCATGGTGGCGCGGTGCCCTGGTGGATAAGGTCACTGACCATGGCCTTGAGGTCGGAGCGCTCGGCCTCGAAGGGGAAGCGCACGAAGGGCCGGAACTTCCGGTCGGGCTCCAGTACGGTGCGGTACACCGAGTAGGGCGCGAACACGCCGTCGTCGCCGTCAGCGCCGTCCTCCGTGAAAAGCTCCTCCCGGTGCTGCGGCTCGGCGCGCGACTCGCGCTCCGCGTCGCCGACGCTCAGGTACTCGGCGTCCGCGTCGCCGTCGGTCAGGTCGTCGAGGCCGCGGCCTAGGGGCTCGCCGCTGATGTAGTTGTGCACGGGGTTGCGGAACTCGAAGTACGGCTCCCGGAGCTGCAGCTGCTGCTTGCGCTGCTTGGCCGGCTTCTTGCGAGGCCGGCCTCGTGGCCGGTGCAGCCTGCCGAACTGCGGCTGGTGCGGCTGCTGTTGCTGCGCCTGCTGTTGCTGCGCCTGCTGCTGCTGCCTCTGCTGCTTCTGGCACTGCTTGATGGCGGGGCGGACGGCGTTGATGAGCGGCGAGAGCAGCCCGGTGAGGAAGTCCTTCTGCAGGCAGCCGCTCGCCCTGCCCCTGGGCGCGCGCATCGGCACCAGCCTGTGGGTCTCGTCCGGAGTCTCGTACACTTCGTAACTCTCTTCCTCGCGGAGCTCGTCCCTGCCCTCGTCCGGGTGATGCACGTCGGCGTCCTCCTCGGACGTGTTCTCGGCCGACGCCCCCGGCCTCTTGTAAGCTTCTCGAGAGTCGTGGGCCTCGTCCGTGGTCAGGGCCTTGAACCTCCCCGTGTAAGGGTCGTACTCGCGGATCCTCGAAGGCGTGGGGTTGTACACGTCCTGCCCGGGGACCCCGACGATGCCTAGGTTGGGTCTGCGAGGGTCGCCAAGGACGGTGATATCCATCGGCTTCAGCTTGACTTTTGGGCGGCGCTGACGGGCTGCCCCGCGCTGTGGGCCGCGTACCGCGGCGCTCTCTTGCGGCCGTCCGTCGAAGTAGTTCCCGGCCTCGGTGAAGCCGGCCGGCGGCGCGTCACCGGCGTAGTCCTCGGCCGCCCCTGCCGGGGCGGGCGGACGCCAGTAGCCGGCCAGGGGGTTGGGGTGCGTGAACGTGCTGGGGACTTTGATGGGCCCGAACGGGAAGCTTTGAAAGGTCGTCCCGCTGAACGGCAGTCCCTGCTGCACGTGGTCCTGCTCCCGGGTGGTGCCGTGCGGGACCAGGTTGACGACGCGCGTCGCCTGCCGCGTGCGCTCCCGGTACGAGCTGCCTCGGGGGTGTGGCTGCACCTGCGCGCCGACAGACATTTCATTCATCATTCATTTGGCTTTGCTATATGAGGTGCGGGCCATGCATATACATGCGCGGTAGTCCACGCAGCCCTTCTGGGTTCCCTAGTAACACAAAACTGTCGCACATAGTGTGATTTTTATCTATCGTCGTATTATTATGACGATAAAGAAAATCCAAAAGTGATGGCTTTTCCATAGTCAGACGATTGTCTCTGGTCTATCAAATTTAAACCATCTACCATTTTGTTGTACTTTTATCGATTCCTGATCGAATCCACAACAGTGGTTTTTTGCTTCCAATACGATAGCTGGCCGATAAAGAATTTCGTTTCGAGGGAAAAAGATAGTATACCGATAGAATCATTTTTCTCATTTCGTATATCGCACCGATAGTTCGTATCTTTTTTCTACTGTTGTCCGACAGTCGTACGACAATTCTGTGCTACTAGGGTTTGTAAATTACTCTACCGCATTCAGGTGAACGGGTGGGTCGCCTACTCTCGCTGTATGTGAGAGAGACTAGGTTGGAACACCCCCCGTCTGCAGTACAATCGTCAATCATAAGACAGGTGCGTGTGCGAGCCACACTGAGTTTGATGAACAACACGAACCTGCATGAAGTACGAGAAGGACGATGGCGTCCCGGTCAGGGTGTCGAGGTAGCCGGGCCTCGTCCCAGACAACGAGCGGTGCAGGTAGGCCGTGGACGACGCCGAGGCGTCGGCCTGCATCGTGGGCATGGCTAGCGGCTCGGCGGTGATGGCAGGTGGCGTCGACGGGATCCTAGTGGAGCTCGGCGCCGGTCGGGCGAGCGGCGGCGGCACCGGGTACGTGGGCAAGTCGTATGGAGGCCCTGCCACAATGAAATTATATTGGAGTAAGTTTGGCCTCGGCTTAAACGAGTCGCACTTCCCGGACGTGCACGCGTGTCAACGTTAAAGTAGTTCCCAAGTAATACTACTTTTGAACCGTAACTCCACACGCTCCCGTTGGGAAATAGCTCATCCATCCACGTACGAACTATCTTTCGCAGGCTGGGCGGCCACATCCACAAGTTTAAGCCAGGAACTAGTCGAACTTTGATTGGACCAGAACGAACACGAGCAGCAGTGCTGGTGCGTGTGCGTGCAACCATGGCGCTAGCGTGCGGAAAACTCGGCAACCGGCGGGAGGGCAAGAAAATAATGTACTCGCCGAGGCGCCTTAAATCAATCCCCAACCCTCCACCGCCCTTCCTCCTCGAGCCGTTCTTTAGATCTGGGGAGCGGGGGGAAAATGAATACCTCCCGTTTCACCTTTTTCCTCTGTATTCGCCGAGAATGATGTTGCTCCCCCTCTACTCTTGTTTGGATGTTTGGATGAAACTGTTACCTGAGTGTTTGTGCTGGGCGGCGCTGGGATACGACGCGCGGTGCTGTGAAGGCGCGCTTCCCGCCGAGGCGTTGCCGTGCGTCACCGACGTGCTCCAGCCCAGGCCCGGCCCGGCGTGCACCACCAGCAGCAGCAGCAGGGCCTGAGGAAACAAGAGTGCTGAACCAAATCACGGGTCACTATTTCCGATCCACCCAGCACCAGTATTCTGCACATCGCATAAACCACGAAACTTTTGCACTATATCTCGGTGTTTGCCGAACTGTCGTGGCGAAAAGCAGTGTGTCCCGCAGCGCCGTCCGTCCGAAACGAGAGACTGAAAGAATGTCCGTTAGCGCCAGAACCCCTCCCCCCCCCCCTCCGGGCGGGTGGGGCGCTTCTTCTAATCTACGCCTGACGATGGACCGTGGGAAACCGCCTCACGCTGCTGCACCAGAGGCGCTGCCTCACGGCCGCTCCAGTGATACAGCTGGCTGTTGTTATTATTGTTATTACCGTGTCGTCGTTGTTGTTGTTATTGTTACCCCTCCCTGGCTGACATTCCCCGCTCTGCAGTAGTGCGAAACTTCAATGCGACGGGCTGCACATGGGTTGTCGCTGGCGCGGCGTGGCGGAGGAGTGGCGCGGTGGGAGGCGAAAGGTCCTTGGCGCCCATAAGGACGCCCTGCCCGCGGGCCAGCGGACGGACGCACGCCGTGCGTGGGAAATGATTAAAGAAATAAAGCCCTGCGCGGCTGCCGATGACTCACGGAAAATATACCACCTTCATTGACGAGGAGGAGGAGTACAGGAGGATGGCCGGGCTGGCAAAGTCCCCTCAGCCCTCCCTCCCTAACCCCCCCCCCCCCCAACCCGCTCCGGCCTCGTCCTTGAACTGACCCACAGGGCCGCCCTCGCCAGGGCGCCTCCTCCTCCCCTATAACGCTCTGTCGATGACGTGAATTACGCAAGTCCTAGGGCCGGGCTGGGCGGCAAACCGAGAGGAAAATAATGAAAAAAAGGAGAGCGAATTACTTCCCAACTGAGCGGACCCAGGCCACTGACTTAGCGCCCGACGCGCAGCGCGCGCTGCCGTGCACTGAAAAAGTTGTTAATGAATTGCCGGCCACTCGGCACTATCACTTACTCTAATCACGGTTCCGCACCACTCGGCCCGGCGGCTGAGGGGCGCCGCGGAGGAGAGGACGGGAAGCAGTGACCGGCGTTGCAAAACCAAACTGACAAAGTGGGATTCAATCGTACCGTGATGTAAGGCAGCTAAACCGGATGGGAATACTGGGCTGCTGCCTGCCAAAGGCCCTTTCCTTTTCTGTTTTCAAATCTCTACCAAAAAATGTCCTCCTTTCATTCTTCATTTGTAGTTAACACGTTGAGTGCGGCTCGTTCCTATAATTTAACATGGAAGCGTGATCACATAGTGGTCACGCTGCACTGAACATGTTAAATATTAAAACTTCAATACTTAAATATCCCCGTTGACTTTGAATGGGTGGGTAGTTTTGAGTTAGAGCCATGGTAACGAACTCTTGCTTTTATCGACTTCTGGGATTTCACTTGGCTGTACATTCACTATTCACTGTACATTCGCGACTAACACTTGCATAGTATTATGAGACCCTGTGAGAAACTTACCGCAAAATGCACCTGCCGGTTCATCTTGGTGACCGCGTCGATGCAGCTGAGGAGAAGTCGGCGCACGCCACACCCGCACTACCTGCTGCAGCTGTGCCTGCTGCACCTGCTGGCGCACTCGCTGCCACACCTGCTGTCGCACCTGATGTCACACCTGCTGCTGCTGCTGTTGCACCCGCTGCGCCCACTCGCAGCCACCCGCCTCCCGCCCTCATGGTACCCGGCACGCGTGGCCGTGCATAGCGCACCCGCGGTACACGCACTCACTACGAAACGGACGCACTACTCGCCGAGCGACAGGACAGGAGCGAGCCCTCAACCAGCGCGCACTACGACCGGGGCCCGCTGCACCCCCTGGTTTATAGCCTCCGTCCACACCCCGCCGCACCCCGCCACGCCCCGCGCCCTTCGACACACTTGCCGAGAACGAGAAAACGACCGTTACCGCCTCTGCCACCTCCCACTGACGACGAGGTTGACGCCGATACTTCTTCTGCCTGTTCGGGGACTCGGACCGGAGCCGGAACAGACGATTGGTCGCGGAGGAAAGGAGGGTGTCGGGCTGACCAGTGAGCCCTTTGCCCCGCCCCGCCCCTCTCCTCGGATTGCACAACCAGAAGGCAACAGTGTGTCACTGATCGGCGGATCGCAAATAGAACTGTCGCGGCCCAAGTCCGCTGCCTCGCCCCGGGGAATCAAAACGCCCCATTGGCCACGGAAGCAGTGTTATGTGAGTGACGTGACCGAACCACAACCGCGGGGCCGGGGCCGGGCCACTCAGCCACCTTTCACTTGTTTTTTTTTATTATTTACTAACCCAATCGCTTGTATTATTGTCATAAAATGAGGGACGTTTAAGCTGCCTTGCTAGTAATGGGCAGGATATACTTGGCCTGCCCCAGGCCTTTCGAAAAGTCACGTCGTTAATTAAATTTATTGTTTAGAAGCTTTGCCGCGATCAGGGCTCTCTAAATCATAGCTTGTTGGAACTGATCAAGTGCAGCAATATTGAGAGATAAATTCCTAAAGATTGGGAAGTCTTTGCTTGGATATATGCACAAGCTGAGCGTGCCTAGTGTCTAGGAAATGCCTTCGTGTGTAGGCAAACCATTCTACTGCCGTGCATCATAGGTTGTCTAGCCACGAGGGGCATGGTAAGCTCTGCAG